GAGAGTGGTTAGGGAAGGAGGGAGGCTGGGAGGAGGAGGAAGAGGAGGAATAGAGGTTAGAAGGGACAAGCGTGGAGGGAAGTGGGACCCAGGTTAGGACCGAGGAAGAAGGAAGGAGAAGGTAGACCAGGTTAGGGGAGGGGGTGAACAGAAAACTAGGGACAAGCACCCAGAATCTGGGGACAGGGTCCTGGGAAAGAGCCGGGGACCCTGGACACTGCAAGGAGAGGGGAGTGGGAAGACCAGAAACCAGAGGAGGACGGGGATGGTGGACAGAGACGGAGTCTCGGGTATGGGGAAGAGGACGGAGGATGAGCGCTGGGGTTGGGGATGGGTAACCATGGATGAGAGAGGGCTGGGAGTGGATGCCAGGGTGGGGATGGGGGCCGGAAAGGAAGGAAGGGGAGGAGGAAGAGAAAGGGGTGGAAGGGAGGGACGGGGTGGGGGTGGGGGGTGTTGCCAGGGATGAGACAAAGAGGCTTCTGGTAACCACTTCCACGTGGGAAGCCCTCCATTCCCAGAGCGCCTGCCCCTCACATCCCTTCTTTCAGGGAGTGGTCGGGGCTCGGAGCTCAGGGCTTTGAGGGGTGGCCGTGGGGGGAGAGGGGGGGACATTTGCATGGAGTGGCAGCCTCAGAGGGTGGGCACCCTGGCTGGCTCCACGCTGCCGCTGCCGTTTATATCTCCGGACCTCACGTCGGATCCTGCCGCCGCCACGGTGACTGCTTATTTTGGGGTGTCACATTCTGGCAGAGTGAGAAGCGGTTTGCAGCAGCCTAAACCTCCCAGGCAGCGTCAGTACCTCCCCAGGCCCCTGCGTCACCGGCACTGCCGCCACCTCCATCCCGCTCCTGGCTCCCACCTCCCAGCCCCTGCCCCCTCAGCATCTGCCCCAGGCCCCAGCCTTTTTCCAGCCTTTTCTGCGTGGAGCTGTTGCTTCTCATCTGGGACCCTGGGTCCCTCCTTCAGAGTCAGAAGCCTTGACTTCCCAGGCCACTCTGCACCGGCCTCTCTGCCCTGTAGGTTGGTGCTCTGGCTCCTGCCTCTATCCTGGGTCCATCTGCTTCCTTTCACTGGGGTCTCTGAACCGAAGGGAGGCTCCAGGGGTGAGCACTGTGTTTCTGAGCCTTGGTTCTCCGGGTGATGGCCCAGATTCCTTGACAGTGGTCCCTCAATGAATGGATACTTCTTGGCTCTGGGCACTTCAGCCTTCTGGGATCGATACCATGTTCTGGCCTCTCTCCATCCCTCCTCTGGTCAGTTCTGGCCCTATCTTCTGGGCACTGGTCATCTCTCCTTGACTCCCAACAGCCTCCCTGCTAGAGCCGCCCTGACCGGGAGCCCAGGAGAGGAAGGTTGCAGAGAGAGCCTGATTCCCTCTTTGCCTCAACCCTGAACAGCCCAACAGACCCAGCGTCAGGGCTGGCCCAGCCCTGTGCACCTGGGCGCAACTTTTGTCCTCCCTTTCTCTCAAGGGCTGCGTCTCTCGCACTCAGAGCAGTTTCCTTGGGTGATGTGAGGTCTCCCTTTGGACCTGCGCTTGTCCATTCCGGGTCCCGCCTGTACCAGCTGCGTGGCCTGAGGCAACTCCTTCCGTGTTTCTGAGCCTCCTACCTCTCTTCTGCAAACTAGGGCCATTGTATGGATCTCGCAGGACTTACGTTGTATTCTATGCGCATAAAGACATGTACAAATAGTGTCCGGCACACAGTAGGTGCTTAGTAACAGATGGTTTCTGCCTGTCCCTGCTCTACACTCCCCTGCAACATTAGCCATTACCTGCAGACTTTAGAATATAAAGGAGAAAAGAGAGGAAGGAGTGAGCAGAGAAGGTGGGGACACTTAGAAGGGGCTTTCCTCGGCCCATAGAGGAGGGGGGAGATGACATGAGGCTTCGAGAAAGGAATTGGAGGCAGACCGTCAGAGATTCGGTCAGAAACTGAGCCTTCCCCTCTCTAGCAGTAAGAGCTTTGCTCTGATGGCCGCTGAGGTGCCCCTTCCAGCTCTGATGCCCTGTGCATCTTGCCCCAGTCTTTGCCAGGGATTCACAAACTGAGGGCTGGGAGTGGGACTGTGGTCCTGGAGAGAGAGGAGGCCACAGGCCTGGAGAGAAGGACTGAGGGGGAAGAGCCCTGAGAAGCAGGGATGGGGAGGGGACTGTGGTGAGAAGGAAAAGGGCAGGGACAGGAGGGCAGAGGAGGAAGAGAAAGGCACAGCTCCCCAGCTCCCTGCCCCCCCCCCTCAGCCCAGGAGCACTCCAGCCAGGCCTGGGGGCAGAGAAACCAGTGCCTCCCACCTCCCCCTCCTCCTGGCCTCCAGTGAGAGCTGCAGCCTGAATTATGGATGAGGCTCCTTGGGTTACAGCTGCTTTGCATGGCGGCGATGGCCAGAAATGGCAACAGAGTCACTGTTACGCAGCAGCTGTCATGGAGGGGCCCTGCTCAGGCTTGGGGAGGTGGGCCTTAATGGGAGAGACATGGGGACACGGGGGAGGGGTGGGGAAAGAAGGGAGGAGCCCCTTATGTGGGCAAGGGGTGGCCAGGGAGCTGTGGGGAGAGGGATGCTGGCTCCCCCAAGCTGCTGAGCTCAGCCTCCTGCTGGGAGAGACCCTGGTGCCACACAGTGGCCCCTGATTCTGCAGCGCTCCAGATTGCACATCCTTCCCTCGGTCTCTCCTAGGGTACCAGTCAGCCCTAGAGGCCGGGGGAGAGCAGTCCTCTCCAGGGCTGGTGGCCTTCAGGGCTCACACTCTTGCGAGCTTGTGGATAAGGGGTAGGGTTAAGGGATCAGAGCAGGATTTGGCTTTCTCTGGTGTCAAGTCCTTGGGGAAGCGAGCTCAGGGGGTGACTCTGCCAGGAAGGGAAGTGCCCTGGCCAAGCATGAGGAGATTCCTTTCTGGTCCTTGCCCCGCCAACCACTTTGCTGTGTGACCTTGGGCAAGTCGCTTGCCCTCTCTGAACCCCAGTTGTGACTAAAGTAGAACAAGAGCTTGAACCAGATGGACTGGAGAACCTTCCCAGCTCTGACATCTCCTGTGCTAGCCCCAAATCTCAGCCCTGCTGAAACCCACTGAGGTTCCCTACCCGCTCCCACATCCCACCCCTGCCAGGTTCTGATGAGGGGTGAGAGACATGCTCCTCCACCCCACGTGGCTCTGAAACACTCGGGAGAAAGTGATCGTGAACTGCCGCACGGGGGAGGGGTGCGAAGGGCCGAGAAACGCGGAGGTGGTGTGAACGAATAGCGCAGCAGCGCTGTGTCACTGAATATTACATCACACCCAGCCTACACACGCATGGGGCCGGCACTCGGCACTCGGCACTCACACACGCGTGGGGACAGCCAGCACATGCAGGGAGGATCGGGGATGCTCATGGTGAGGCCCCAAATTGAGGAGCGGGAGCACCACATCGGCATGGGGTTCCCCACCCCTGCCTGTGTGTCCCCCATGGGAGGAAGCTCACGGGACAGCCATAATGTCTACGCCACTCAAACACGCCGGCTGTGCAGCTCTGCGTGTAGTGTGCACTGGGCTCAGACACAGACATTCACGCGCAGCGCCAGGCATCACGTACAGTCATGCCCCCCTCGGTCTTCCCCAGGGTCTCTGAACCCCGGGGAGCCCTGGAAATAGGACCTGGGTCCAAGGCCCACTCTTCCTCCCCTCGGCCTTTGATTCGCAAGAGATCTCAATTTAGCCCCAACCGGTCTCAAATGGGGGCGATTTTGCTCCCCAGGAGACATTTGGTAATGTCTGGAGACATTTTGGTTGTCATAATCAGGGGGAAGGTGTTACTGGCATCGAGTGGGTAGAGGACAGGGATGCTGCTAAACACCCTAAATAGGACACCGTATAGGGCTGTCCCCCACAACAAAGAGCAATCGGCTCAACTCTCCATACGAAGGTTGAGAGGCCTGACAGTTAACACAGTCAAACCCACCGTAGTGACAACAAGAACGGAAAAGACCACCACTCTGAAACAGCCTGCGGCATAGCAGTGCTTTCCACAGTGTCCTCCCGGCATTTCTTTCTTTATTTTTATTTTTTTAATATACCAGGGGTCGCAAAAAGTGGAAGTGGCCGGGGCCTCTTGCAATTAGGTTGTTTGCGCCCAGAACCCTCCCACCCAGGAGCCAGGCTCCTGGCCATTAGGGGTGTGTGGGCAGGCCCCTGGCGGGCGCTCCTGCCCTTACAGCCTGCCCAGAAAGGCCTGCCTCCTGTCCCCACAGGTCCCGCCTCAGCCTGCCTGCTGCTGCTGCTCCTGGCCCTGCCCCCAGCGGCCCCCAGCTGCCCCATGCTCTGTACCTGCTACTCGTCCCCGCCCACCGTGAGCTGCCAGGCCAACAACTTCTCCTCCGTGCCGCTGTCCCTGCCGCCCAGCACCCAGCGCCTCTTCCTCCAGAACAACCTCATCCGCACGCTGCGGCCGGGCACCTTCGGGCCCAACCTGCTCACGCTGTGGCTCTTCTCCAACAACCTCTCCACCATCTACCCGGGCACCTTCCGTCACCTGCAGGCCCTGGAGGAGCTGGACCTCGGTGACAACCGGCACCTGCGCTCCCTGGAGCCCGACACCTTCCAGGGCCTGGAGCGGCTGCAGTCGCTCCACCTGTACCGCTGCCAGCTTAGCAGCCTGCCCGCCAACATCTTCCGCGGCCTGGTCAGCCTGCAGTACCTCTACCTCCAGGAGAACAGCCTGCTCCACCTCCAGGTGAGCCACCCACCCATGCGCAGGCCCCTGCACACACTCCCCTGCTTTCCCCTCGCTCCTCTGCCCCTGTGTGTGTCCCTCCGCTCTCCCCAGCCCGCCCTTCCTGCCTCAGCATCTCAGCATCCATCTCTCCATGTCTGCCCCTTTTCTAAGTGTGTCCCTCTCACTTTCTCCAGGGGCTTTTCTCCATTTAGTCTGTCTGTCTGTCTGTCTATGCCTGTTTGGTTCCCTTGCTGCCCCTCTCTCTCACTCCCTTATCCTCCACCTACCCCCCACCCCCCACTGTGTGTCCCCTTCTGCCTCTGCCTGTCTTGTCTGTCTACCCCTCTCTGCCTCTCTCACTGACTTGCCTTCCCCATCTGTCCTCTGGTCTTCTGTCTGTCTCCATTCACACGCCCACTCCACACGCACCCCATGTCTGGTTGATGTGCTTGTCTCTCTGTGATCTCTCCTTTTCCCCTCGTTTGCCTTCGGGGGCTCTGTCTCTCCCCAGGCACCAGGCCTGAAGGCCTCTGTGGCTGCTTTCTCCCCACCCCACCCCCTCCCACTGCCGCTGGTGTCCCAGAGAAGGCCCCCCTCTCTCCAGCACACTGGCTAATGGGACAAGGGGAAACCCTACCCTTTCTAGATCCCCATCCCCAACCTGCTGTCTCATTGAAAGGGAAGAAGGAGGGGGAAAAAAGGTAAAGAGCTGTTAAGTAGCTGGAAGATGGATGCTCTGAAAACGGAAGGAATAACAGTAATTGCTATTTATTGTTATTATTATTGATCTAAATATTGTTTATTGTTGTTATTAAGCTGACTGTCTGACAGTCAAATCCTCCCATTCTATTTCCCCAGGAAGCAATAACACACCCTCCCAACCACCCTCCCTGGGCTCCACAGCCTCAGGCTGGAAGGGGGCTGGAATATCCAAACCCTCCCTCCCCCCACATAGATGGAAGGCATGCCTCCTCCCAGCGGGCTGGTGCTGATTTGAAAATCAGGTCAGGGTTTATGCTGATAAAGATAGTAACAATGGCAATAATAACTTAACAAACGTGCATTGTGCACCCACTATGTGCAAGGCATTGAGAATACAGCAGTTAACAAAACAGACAAAACCCCCTGCCTTCGCCGAGATAGCACTCTAGGTGGTGGAGAGAGACAGAAGTGAAATACGGTAGCCCCCCTCTTATCTATGGGAGATCCGGTCCAAGACCCCAGGGATGCCTGAAATCTCGGACAGTACGGAACCTTGTATGTACTATGTACATACACACCTATAATATAGTTAGTTTATAAAATAGGCACAAAAAGATATTAACAATAATAACTAATAATAAAATAGAACAAGTATAACAACATACTGTAATAAAAGTTACGTGGATGGCTTTGGGGCCATAATTAAGTGAAACAGAGGGACTTAAACACAGGCACTGTGGGACCACGGCACTTGATCTGACAACCGAGGCGGCTACTACTAGTAAGTGTCTAACAGGCAGGTAGCGTATGCATCATGAAGTCCCGTCATCCCTGGGCAAAGGGATGACTCGCATCTGGGTGGGATGGCTTCGAGATTTCTCCACGCTAAATAGACCAGCACACAATTTAAAACTTATCAATTGTTTATTTCTGGAATTTCCTGTTTAATATTTTTGGACCATGGTTAACTGCAGGTAACTGAAACCATGGAAAGCAAAACCGTGAAGGGGAGCGGGGGACTGCTGTACAGAGTACGTTGGAAAAAGATGTCGTGTTATTATGATTGCACCAATAATGGTAGTAGTACCCACTACCACTTAGTGGACACACTATGCTGAGGCCTTTATGGGTGTTGGGCGCTATGCTAAGGCCTCTATAGGTATCAACTCTGCCACTTACAAGTGTGTGACATTTTCAATCCCCCCGAGCCTCAGTTTTTCCATTTGTAAGTTAGGGGTAGCACCAGCCCATCTCCTAGGGATTTCATAAGTGTAAGTGCATGAATAATTTGTAGCGCGCTTAGAATAGTGTTTGGCATGCGATACGCACTATATAAATGCTTGTTAAAATACTATTTTAAAAGAGGCAAGCCTCATTTAACATTGATCTCAGTGAAATGGCCCATCTTGGACCTCATCTTGGAGATTTGGGTCAACTTCAAGGGTGATGCCCAGGCCATGGGTGGATCCTAGAAAACTCCCTCTTTTCTTTCCTTCCTAAATTTGCCCAGCACCTCACAGTGTCCAAAGCACGCTCAGCCACCTCACCTCATTTCCATAGCCCTGTCAGGAGATGCTTACACCTCCCCACAGATGAGGAAACTGAAGCCCAGGGTCCCAAGAGTTTGTAGATATAAGGCCTCTTCACATGAAGTCTCTTAAACCATTGCCGATATGACTGGGGGCTCCCATGTTCTCAGCAGCACGTCTAACCTCACAAAAGCCTGGCAATAGAGACAGTTAGGGACAGTAGGGACACAAAATGAAATTCCTGAGGCCACCGAACCAGGCAGAGCTGGTGGTACGAGAACCTGCGTGGGCTGATGACATTTCAGGCCATTTTCATCACTCAGAACTCTCCACTAGGGTCTGTCTGGGTGGAGGGGGGTGGTACCCTGAAATACAGCAGCATGGGCTCATTTTTGAAGGCTCTCACCTTGGAGTCTACCAGATGTAGGTTCAGATCCTGGCTCCTATATGACTTTGGACAAATTATTAAGGATCTTCCCATCTCCAAGTCCTCATCTGTAACATGGCCACCTCAATAGGGTTAGCACAGGGCCACACTCAGGTACTGCCACTGACACCTGACCTCCTCAGCATTTATCAGTGGATCACAATGAGACAGCTAGGGTCAGAGGGCCTGAGTTGGAATCCCTGCTCTGCTGTTTTCTGACTTATTTAACTTAAGGCATGATGCCTCTCCTCTCTGAACCTCAGTGTCCTCATCTTTAAAGTGGAAATAATAAAAGTCATCCTTTCCACAAAGAACGGCTGTGCAGAGTAAATGAGTTGTGTAGATACAGCACACAGTTCAGTGCTGAATAAATCCTGTCATTAGAACCTGATCCTCCACTGACTCCGAAATGGGAAGTTGGTTCTATACACCCCTGGCATGAATGGCATGGCATCTTCACACCAGGCCCTTTATAGAGAAAGGAAGGAGGGGAGGAAGGAAGGAAGGAAGGAAGGAAGGAAGGAAGGAAGGAAGGGTCAGCCTCTGCCTGTGAACTGCCTGGAGGAACTAGGCTGGGAGATGCCACCGGTGGGGGAGGAAACGTGGGCTGGGGTGATGTCCACAGAATGCAGGTGTGCCCCAAGATAGGGCTGGGCCTCCCCAAGAGGGGAGCTTTGGAGGAGGCAAGAGGACCACAGCTTTTAATGATGAGGAAGGTGGAAATGGAAATGGGGTGGGCTGGAGGTTCTCACAGACTGTCTTCTGTGTGCCAGGTACTGTGCCAGGTGAGTTCATTCATCAACAGATGTGTATTGAGTACCTACTGCATGCCAGGCAGTGTTCTGGGTGCCAGGGACTCAGGGGCGAACAAAAACAATCTCTCTGCTCTCCTGGAGTGTATTTCCTACTCGAAAGGAACCAGAACCTTTCACTCATTACAGCAGCCTGCACAGTGCATAAGAGCAGCCTTTGTACTCAGGCACATCTGAGTCTGAATGGCAGCCCCACCTCCAGTTTGGTCTGTGGCTTTGGGCAAGTTACTTCACCACTTTAAGCCTGAATGGCCCCATCTGTAACATGGGGGAAATGCCCTGTGCCTCAGGGGTTTATTGTGAGGGTTCAAGGAGATGCTACTTGAAGAGGGCTCAGCAATGTGTCTCATTCAGAGTAAGTGTAACCGGACAACCAGTGGGTCCAGGCCACCTGTCACTACGTGAGCCAATTAAGCAGAGACAGGGTTGAATCGTTTAGGAGCAGTTATTCCAATAATGCTGGCAGTATGGGAGAGCAGCAGGTCATCCACAAAAATCTGCGCTCCCCTCCCCACAAGCCATCTGCTTATATTGGGTAGAAGGGCAAAGATTATGTGGGAAAGTAAGAATTACAGGCGTGGGAAAGTAGGCACGGGATAATGGTTACAGGTTACAGGCCATGTGGGCTTGGACAGGGGGGTGGGGGGATTGTAAAGGGCAGGCACCTCCAGGACTAGACTGTTCCAGCCATGAGGTTGTAGGCAGCTCTTGGGAGAGGAGGATGGACTTCATCCCAATGTTAGTTCCCATGTCCCAGGGTGTACAACCGTCAGCCAGGTGAGAATGTGCTTTCTCTAATCAGAACAGAACAATCATGGTTAACAGAGCATGATTAATATTTCTCATAATTATAGCTAGTCCCCAATAATCTATTTCTGCCCCTAACATAAGCATCATTTCCCCCCATTTAACAGCTGAGGACACTGAGGCTCAATGAAGTTAAGGCATCAGCCCAAGGTCACCCAACTACTAGCAAAGGGCTCAGCTTAGAATTGGCCCAGGTCTGTCTGACTCAAGTGTAGCTGTTCAGAACCCTGTCTCCAGAGTTCATTTCCACATTCTACTACATATTAGAATTAGTAGAATTGCCCTCTCCTAGCCTCCCTTTCCTAATCTCTGAAAGGGGAGATGATAACATCTGTTTCATAGGGTTGTGATGATCAGGTTGCTATAGGAGACGTATGTAGCACAGAGGTTGGGCCATAGTGAAAGCTCAGTAAGTCATCTGCTTGCCTATGCTGACGCAGACCATGACAATGACACCAGGCATAGGTTGGTGATCTCTGTGAGGAGGGGAGGGGGGCTGGCACAGAGGAGGCACTCAATACAGCTTTGTTGAATGAATGAGGTACATTCCAGGATTCACTCACTCATAAATATCAGATGAGGATGGATCTTAATGATCAACTATCTCAAGTCCCTTGTTTCACAGATTTAAAAAAAAACAACTGAGACTCAGAGAGGTTCCTGGAGCTGCCCAAGGTCACACAGCTCAGCCACTGGTGCCAAAGACTGGAGCTTGGGAGGGTTAGAAGGAGGCAAGGTTAAGAACAGGATGCTGTCCGGAGAAGGGGGGCAGGGATGCTGCATTGAGATTCCATATGGATGTGGAGAGCTGTAAACTGGCTGGGGGAGGTGAGGGAAATGTGGTTTTGGAAATGGAAGAAGATGACTTTAGCAGCCACTCTCAGCCCAGAGGGAGGGGGCGATAGGGAGGGTAGTGGGGGAGGGCGAGGGCTGTGAAAGTCAAGAGCTTATTAATGCACAGAGGTTTTAACAGTGGAGAGAGGGCTGGATTTGAGAGCTGCAGCTCAGGAAGTGGCAGCGGGATTTGGCAACAGCTTGGATGGGGGAGGGGAAATGGACCCCCAAGCTGAGGTTCAGAGAGGAAAGGGGCAGAACTTTTGCAGAGGGAAAAGGGGGAAGGAGAGGAGGGTAGAATCAAGGAATTTTGTAGCCCAAAAATCGGGACTGTGGGCCAAAGGCGCCTGAATTCCCTAGGGGCTCTGAACCTTTGATCTTCTCTTCCTAACCCTCCCAAGCCAAACTCCATTACCTGTGCATCCTCATCCTCACCCCACCCCCACTAATCCTCTCACAGGTATCTCTGAGGGTGTCCCACTCTTAATGACACCCATAAAAAAGAGAAACCCTGGCTAGGTGTTTGAGTAGAAGGGACTCAGAGCCCACTCTCAGGGTGGACCGGAAAGAGGACAAGGGTACCAAGCTAAATTGGGCCACAGAGGTCCAGAGAGCCTGCCAGAGACCTGAGCTGAGCATGGGGGTGGCACAGGGAGTGGAGAATGCTGGTGTCAGAGGCAGCCGAGAAGGTTGAGGGGGACGGATCTCAATGTGGCCAAGAGGAGGGTTCTTGGCAGGCTCAGTTCCTGTAGCGGAGAGGGCGGAAGCCAGATGGGAGGGGGCGAGAACACGCAGGAGCACAGGAAGGTGGAGGCTGTGGGTGTGGGCTGGGAGTCAATGCCCTGCCCCCACCTGAGAGCCTTTGACCAGACTCCTGGGTGGGGTAGGGGGGTCATCCCCCCAGACAGGGAAGGGTGGGAGAGCCACAGTCGGGAAACAGGTCCCCCAGGGTGCACTGGCTTGAACAGAGAGGATGCCTGTGTCCCTAAGAACCAGACCTCCTGGGCCCGCTGACCACAGGGATGTCCTGCATCACTGACGGAGGGCCTCAGTCCTGGGGCTCTGGTCCCCTCTGGCAAACTCTCCATCTCTCTGGGCCTCAGTGCTCTTCTCTGTAAAAAGTGGGCTGGGCTGGTGGACCCTGGAGCTGATCATCACCTTAGTGAGCTGGTTAAAATGCAGAATCCAGCCCCTGGGCCCTCCCACCCATGGAGCATATCCACTCCCCCACGCCCACACCCCCCTTCATTCAGAACCACAGTCCAAGATGAGCATGGCCTGATTTGGGCACTGCCCAGCCCCAGACAAGTGGGACAGCCCTTCTAAGGGGGCAGTGATGTAGGACATCAGGCAGCAGCCTTCTTTCCCCTCCCTGGCTGGCTTTGGGGGTCGGGGAGAGCTGACACCTGGTCCTCTTAATATCTTAGCCTAATAGCAGGACTCTTGGACCCTGGAGAGCTCCTCAGTTATCTAACTGAGCCCCTAGTGTAATAACCATCATTTTTCGAGGGTGGTGGAAGTCCCCACCAGGTCCTTACGGCATGATCTCATCTACCCTTCCCCCAGCCTCTGAGTATGGGGGTATTCTCCAAGTTATACAGACTGAGGAAACAAGAGGCTCTGGGAGGCTAAATAACTTGCCCAAAGTAACGCAGCTGGGAAGAGGGCAAGCTGAATGGGCACCAGGGGCTGTGACTCCTGAGCCTGTGGGCGTCATCATTGGACTGGATACCGGTGTGCCAGGCACTGTGCCCAGCACTTCACCATCTGATCTTTATGGATCATCTTCTTTAATCCTCAGAACAAGCCCATGAGGAGGTACACTCATCCCCATTTCATCGATGAGGCAACAGGCTTAGAGAGATTACTGGCTTGGCCAAGTTAAAGATAATGGCCAACTCCTTGAATGCCTCCCACATGGAAACCTTGTTCTAACCACCTTAACACGCGCTGCTTCATTTAATCTCCACACCTTACAGATGAAGAAACGGAGGCACAGAGATACTGTGACTTGCCCAAGGTGGCACAGCCAGCTATGATAGATCCAGCGTTTGACGTCAGGCTCCTCCACGCTGAATGAGTATCTTCTTCTCCGAGTGTGGTCCCCGGACCAGCAGAGGCAGCACCTCCTGGGAACTTGTAGACAGGCAGATTCTCGGGCCCCACCTGCTAAATCACAAACTCTGAGGGCAGCGCTTCGGGATCCCCGGGGATTCTGATGGTCCCTAAAGTTTAGGAACCACTGGCCTCAATTACATCACCTTTTCCACAGTAACCTCTAACTAGGTTAGAGGAGGCAGGATTCAAACCCAGGACTCCAAAAGGAAAAGCCAAGTTGGCCCTAGCTGGTTTGGCTCAGTGGATAGAGCATCTGCCTGCGGACGGAAGGGTCCAGAGTTCTATTCCAGTCAAGGGCACACGCCCGGGTTGCGGGCTCCAGCCCCAGTAGGGGGCGTGCAGGAGGCAGCTGATCAATGATTGTCTCTTATCATTGATGTTTCTATCTCTCCCTTTCTCTCTGAAGTCAATCAATGTATATTTAAAAAGCAAAAGAAAAGTCAAATTGTTTCCCACAGCGCTCCCCTTCCTTCCCCACCTGTCTCAGGACCTCTCTCTTCTCCACCCCTCCTCCCAGGATGACCTGTTCGCGGACCTGGCCAACCTGAGCCACCTCTTCCTGCACGGGAACCGCCTGCGGCTGCTGACGGAGCACGTGTTCCGCGGCCTGGGCGGCCTGGACCGGCTGCTGCTG